GGAGCGCGCCGACACCAGGGCCGGCTGGGAATTCCAGGGTTTCGCGAGGCGTGCGGATGCGTGGCTGAAGCGCGGCCATTTACCAGGGGTGGCATATGCGCGGGCGGTTCACCGCGAAGATGCTCTGGCAGGTTGTCGCGGCGATGCGTCGTGGAGCGGGCTCGAACCATAACTCGCATTAAAAGCTCGGGGGGGGGGGGGGGGGGGGTGGAGATGGGGCAATCTTGGAAGCGCGCGGTCGATGAATAAGTGAATGTGGAGGATTGCTCGGCCGTTGTCGGCATTGCCCCGATTGGCGCCAGGTGGACTGATACCAGCGAGGGCGAGGAGGCCAACTCTGAGCGACAATCCGGCTCATGGCCCAGCAAGTTAAGAACAGTTCCCAGGGGGGGGAATCGATTTGCCGCCGCCCGTTCCAGTTGAAGCCCGACATCTGCTGCTCCCCGCGCCTGTTACAAACGAGGAAATAGGGCGCGTCCGAAGGGGGCCCGAGAAAGACTCAAGCTGGGACTTAAGTGTCAAGCGGGTACACTTGCACGCCAAGGTCAAGAGGGACATCTTCATTAGGTTGCCCGAAGAAGATCGTGCACCGGGCATGCGTGGAAGATTGCCAACGTCAGCGCACGGCACTCGGGGCGCCACCAGCAACGGGGGCGATTTTTATGAACGCTGCAGCCGACTGTGATTTTGATCTGGACCGCGGGAAATCATCACCATGTAAGCAGATGGCACGGCGAATCTGGCTTCGAGCTCATTGAGCCGATTGGTTTCCTTGGGCAAGGAGATTGATCTTGACTGCTCCGAAGGAGAAGCGCAAACTAGTCTCGACGTTAATGTCCGCGGCAAGCCCGGACCAGGGCCAGGATATGTGGTGCGAATCGATTCCCAGTCGAACTCTGGAAATGAACGGGGATGGGTGGTGGCATGAGGCGGACCAATGGCACGTTGAGAGATGAGTGAGAGAGTTAGGAATGGAGCAGTACCATGTGCGAGATCAGATGCAGGTGACCAAAACAAGCAGCCTGACGATTAAGAGGATGATGGTCGCCCCCCACCGAAGCGTGTAGTCGTTTTTTTTTTCCTCGCGCCAGTTGTACACTTTTATGTGCGTTAGTTTCACGCCTTCGCGTGCTAGGATGGAGTCCTGGCTTGCGTCTACACATGTAGTGTCGCCTCAGGGCATCCCATAGTTTCTGCCACCACTGGCGCGATTTTCCGTGACCGAATCGCCTTCATTGTTGTGCACTTCGTATCCACATTCGGCGTGTCAGCCGATAGGGGGTATTAGATTATTGCGTTCAGATTGGGTGGGCAGGATGTTGTGTAGTTGTATTGCGGTATGTATTTGGATAACATGCCACGCCGCAGGCGTTTGGCTCAAGATCTAATTTCCTCCAGGGGAACAACAAACTCAAATCCGATTCTCAGGGGGGGAAGCAAGAGCAGGAGGAGGAAGGAGGTAAGGAGGAACGGGAGGAACAGGACGAACAGGTAAAGGAGGAACAGGAGGAGGAGGAGAAGGACCAGTGTAAACCCAAGGCCCATCAACGATGCTGGAACACACCCTCACTACAAACTCCCTCGTCATAGGCCCCTGCAAAGGGGTAGTTTCCACTGAGGGAATTGCCCCGTCGGGGAGCAGCCGTGCGAAAATCCTAGAGCGTGCGAAAACACCATTCTCCGGACTGCAACGCCATGAGCTTACATGAATGCGCGTCTTGGCGATCCTGGATCGTGCTCGAACACCATTCTTGGGGCGCCAACATCACGAATCAATGTAACTGTGGCGACCCGTCAATCCTGAGTCTTTCCTACACACCATTTTTGACGCGGCAACCATCGGAAGCAGTGAAGCTGTTGCATTGTTTTACAATGAATGCGCGCGGCGCTAAGGCGATAATGGCATGTTGAAAACGAGCCGCTCCCAATCCGTGAAATGCATGCAACGTTTTAAATCGATTGCGCGCGGCGTCTAAGCGAGAACCACATTTCGAAACACAAAAAACACGCCCTCAAGCAGGGAAGTTCTTGCAAACTTTCAAAACGAGGCACTGAAACGGGAACCACACTTTGAAAACGACCCGCCTTCAACCCGCGAAGCTGTCGAAAGCTGTTGACACGAATGCGCGCGGCGCTGAGGCGGGAGCCACATTTTGAAAACGACCCGCCCTCAATCTGTGAAACACTTGCAATGACTAACGGCGCTGAGGCGAGGGCCACATGTTGAAAACCACCCGCCTTGGATCCGCGAATCGGCTGCCACTTTTAAGCTTCAGGATCATTCATGGTGAGGAAGTCTCAGGCGAAACGCCCAGCCCGCCCTTTCGACCGGCCTCGGGGTGCGACTGACGGGAGCCATGGAGAAGCACGAGGAGGAGTAAAAGGAGGAGGAGGAATAGGAGGAAGAGAAAGAGGAGGAAGTGGAGGAGGAGGAGGAGCAAGAGGAAAAGAAGATGTTATCTTCAAGCTGCAAGAGCACGAGGTTGCTAGCAGGACGGCCGGACTCTAGTTTATCATGGTTTATCCCCCAGTATGTATATGTTTCCTTGCTTCCTCTGCTAGAAGGAAGGGGAGGAGGGGATGAGGAATGGAAGGGAAAGGAGAAGGAGGGGGTGGAGGAGGAGGAGGAGGAAGAAGAGGAACATGATGAGGATGAGGAGGAACAGAAGCAGGAGCAGAAGCAGGAGCAGAAGTAGGAACAGGAGCATGAGCAGGAGCTGGTGAGAGCTCGGGCTGCGCACAGACAGCCCCTCCAGATGGTCCCTGCTGGGCTCTACAAGCCCCGAGTAGTCTTGCACGGTATGAACACCTTGGCGCCGCCTCTGGCGGCGCCTCTGGCGCTCCGCGCTGCGGGTGAGGTGTTGAGACCACCCGAAGCAACTCGGGGGCCGGTTGAGCGGCGACTGCTTGGGGGGCTGCCTGGGCGTAGCCCAAAGCCTTGCCATGGAGGAGGAGGAGGAGGAGGAGGAGGAGGAGGAAATTGAGGAGGAGGAGGAGGAGGAGGAGGAGATTCCAGAGGGTCCTTGCTTGGTGCCCACCGCCGCGCCCGAGAGGGGGCCGTTGCTTTCCTCTCCTCTTCGCCTGTCCCCTCTCCCCTGTCAGGCCAGGCACTTTGCCAGCACCTAGGGAATCGGGGCACATGGGCCCCAGAGCGATCGCCTGTTGCGCTACGATCCTTCCCCCGCCTTGGCCAACGGCTCCTCTCCTCGATCGCGTGTTAAGCCTCCATAGCCGCAGCGGCCATCCCGCCAATGTCTCCGCAAGACGACAAGGACAGTCCAGAGCTCAAACACCTCAGAAAGATGAAGGGAAGGTGGAGCGATCTCATCATCTTCGGCCTCCGGGGCCGCGGGCCCCATGCAAGGAAGGAAGAGGGACGGAGGGAGGGAGGAGCGGGATCGAGGATCGTTTCTCAGGCTCTGGGGGCCTCAGGCGCCAACAGAGGGGGAGAGGGGACCTCTTGTATTGCACCTCTCTGAGGAGTGGGGCCCGCTGGGCTTGCAGTGTGACCACCCCGTCATGGGCACCACCGCCCCTTCGGGCCTATAGGCCACTGCTGCCTCGGCGGAGGCCCGGCGCGCTGTCCCGCCGCCGGGGAGGGTTACCATGGTGTGGCTTAGAATAGCTGCTCCAGGGGCAGCAGGTGAGCAAGGATTCCGGCATGGTCGTTTGGAAGGGGGAGGTCGGGGGCACGTCATTCGAGGAACGCGTGTCCAGAAGGTGGGGAGGAAGCCAGCGTTGATTCTGGTGAGATCCCCCAGGAGGTCCTGTGTGAGCTCGTTCGGCCGTCGATGTGGCCCAGCCCTGACAGCGTGGCGTGGATTTGGCCCGATCAACGGGCTCGATCCCAGGTTTACTCGGCAGCCGAATGGTTCTGGACATCAAGGTCTTCGATATCGTGATTTTCTCCGAATAGGCTTGCCCTATAGGAGTCCTAAGTCATTCTCCACCAACTGGTCCGTTGCCATCCCCCCCATAATTCTTATGCCCCCCTTATTCCTATGGCTATGCCTATGCCTATGCATATGCCTCCCCCATAACTCCTATGCCTACGCTTATGCCTATGTCTATGCACCACCTCTGAGCGCTCCTAGCCCCCTCTTTTTCCAATGCCCCCCTTTTTTTCCAATAGCACTTGATTGCTTGCTCTTGCGTGCTTACTCTCGATTGCTTGCTCTTGCTTGCCCTTTCTTGCTTGCACTTGATAGCTGGCTCTTCTTTGCTTGTGATTGCTCGCTTGCGCTTGCTGCATGCTTGCTCCCGCTTGCTTGTTTGCGTTTGCTTGAATTTGTTCCTCCTGTCCTCCTCCCGTCCTGCTCCCGTCCTCCTTTCGTCCTCCTTTCATCCTCCTCTCGTCCTCCTCCTGTCCTCCGATCTATGTGGAGTCAGCGCTAGCTGATATTTCCAATGCTCGGGACGATCGAAATGGATATGGACAAATGGGTACGATGCCTAACAGCAGTTCCTGCTCATTTTTAATGTGAAGAAGACTCGCTGTCTGCGCCGCCGCGGACGTTGTTCACTGAAGACATAAAGCCGCCTGCCCAACAGCGGCCGTTGTTGGCTTTGTACAACATTTGTTGTTGGGCATTGTATCCATTTGGTCCGTACCCATTTCGGGCGTCCAAATCTGCGTGGTCGGCCGTTTTCTCATCCCCGGGTCCTTTTTGTTAAAAAACCCCTGGGCCCGGGCCGCAAACGTGCCTCAAGTGATGCAAGTTTGCCTGCATTAGCCAACTCACGACCCTGGAGGTGTGGATTTTCAGTTAGCGACGCGACCACATGTGAGCGCGGCTGAAATTCGAAAAACGACATCACACGGCAGGGGTGGAGGAGGAGACGGATATTGATGAGGAGGAGGAGCAGCAGGAGTAGGAGGAGGCAGAGGAGGAGGAGGAGGAGGAGAAGGAGGAGGAGGAGTGGAAAAGGAGGAGGAGAATGAGGAGGGCTGGAGAGTGAAGAGGATATGAATCAGGGGCGGGAGGAGGAGAGTGCGAGAGCGCGGAGAGGCCGCGGCAGGGCCACCAGTCGGCCCGGCCCAACCTCCGAGGAGGGCGGGGTGCCTTGCGCCCACCGCGCGCCCCTCGCCCCCCGTCGGGCAGTGCCAAAGGGGGGTCGCCACTGTGGGGGATCACCTCGGAGGAGGGCCAGGAGCGTGTTTTTGTGTTTTACCCGCTGGTTCCACGACGCGCGTTATGCCTCGCCCCTGCACCCCCAGTAGCGTGACGCTCCCCCCCCGCTGTGCGTCCCCAGCACCGCCGCAGTGCGTCCGACACAACAGCATGTGGTGCCGGACCAACACGGCGGGGAGGGGCGTTACGTTATGCCATGCCCCCGCCCCCCCCACCCATAACGCCCGTTGTCGCCGCGAAGAAAAATACTTCCAAGCGAGACAGCGGCGGACCTCCCTCGCGTTTTCCCGTGCTCTCTGGGCCTTCCTGGGAGGCTCCCTCATCGTCATGGCCAGATCCGCTACGGAACCCCGGGAAGGTCGGCCACGCGTAGAGGGGCGAAGGGGAGGGGGGAAGGTTTCTCAGACGGCGGCTGCTGTTTCTTGGAAGGCGCGAGCCTTGCCCGTAGACGTAGGGCAGGCGCCGTCTAAGAAGCAGCCTCCTCCTGAGAAGCCTTCCCCCCTCCCCCTCCCCCCGCGCTGCGCGGCACCAATGAGGGGTCCGGGGGCCGACTTCGAGCAGATTCGGGCCAGGCGGGAGGGCCGCCGTTGTCTCAGCGGGCCCTCCTCCGATCACCACCTGGGAGTCGAGGGTCGGGGCTCGGGCGGCACGGCAGACATCTGGGCGGTGCGCGGGCGAGAACGGCAAGGCCGAGACGGATGCGTCTCCCACAGCCTCGCGCCGCCCAATCGCCGCCGCACGAGCAGCTCTTCGCATCCCCAGGAGGACAAGAGGAGATGAGGAAGAAGGCGGGGGGGAGGAAACGGGGGCAGAGGATCGGGCAGGGGACAGGATCGAGGATCGGGACGGTGTTGGACGTCTTTGGCCGTCCTTCCAGGTCGGACGAAGTGGGGGCAGATTGTGGAAGGGGGAGGTGGGGGCGGGAACTGCTGCATGCGTCTGGCATCTGGCTTTTGGCCACGCCGCCCGGCGCCTTCCTCGACGGGCGCCGGGAGGCGACGGCACCCGCCCTTACCCCCCCCCCTTCGTCCGACCTGATTTTTAATTCGACGAAGAAAACCGCATGAACATAGTTAACATGTTCGGAGCTTCGCGCGGATGCCTTAGTTTCCGCTGGGTCCCCCTGGCGGCGCCTCTGGCGCTGCCCATGACGCGCTCCGCGCGCCACGGAGGAGGCATCAGTGGATCTCAGAAATCCGCGTGGAGTTCGAAACGATATTATATGTTTATGTGTTGTTCTTCCTCTATCGTAGTTGCTAGATGGTCCAGGGAGGTCCGTTTCCTCTAGAGCAGGTGGTGGCGACCCCGTTTTGTGGTGCCCCCCCCCTGAAGCGCTGCCTGCCGTCGGCGCAGCCTGGGCTATGGCGTGCGAGACGGCAAGCGCGCGGCCCGCGCCTGACGAGCAGGAGCCTTCGTAGTCAACCGTCTCCCCTGGACGTCCTCTCGTCGTGCGAAGGTCACAACATGGTCTGTTGTTCCCAGCCGTGCTTACACCTGGAGGTTCTTGCCCAGGTCGCCGGTGCCCGCCTCGTGGGTGCCTCGTGGGCGCCCAGCGCTGGGGGGGAACACCGAGGTTTCGCCTGGTGCCCGCCCGAGGGCGCGTCGTAAGCAGAGGTTTCGCCTGGTGCCCGCTTGTTGGCACCTCGCGAGCGCCACATAGCTTGCAACGCATAGCTCACACCATGTAGCTCACACCGCATGTACTACACCGCATATCCTCCACCATGAGTCACACACTACATAGCTTACGCAAACTAGCTCAGACCACACAACTCACACCACATAGCTGGCGCAACAGCTTGCACCAAATAGCGTGCACCTCATAGCTCACACCTCATGGCTCACACCACATGGCTCAGGCTACCTATTTACACAGCATTGCGTACACAGTGTAGCTTGCACCACCTATTTCACATCGCACGACTTACACTACACCACATAGTTGTGAATTGCATTGTGCATTGATGTATTGTTTGGGGCTTACATTGGTTAACATGTTGATGCTGTTTTGAATGGAGGCAGCTGCATAACCCGCTATGATTGATTTGATATGTGCTGGCCCCCCTGGCGGCGCCTCAGGCGCCGCCAGTGACGCGCTCAGCGCGCCAGGGAGGGGTCCAGCGCAGATCCAAGACACCCGCGCGGAGTTTCGAAAGTTTTTGTTTATGTCGTTGTTTGTTCCTCTATTCTAAACGTTTTACGTAACCCCACCAGCCCATCCAGAAACGATGCCCAGGCAAGATATTATGCCGGTGAAAGTGGAACACTGAGCGGTGGAGGAGGAGGGGAATGAGAAGAAGGAGAAGGAGGAGGAGGAGGAGGAGGAGGAGGAGGGCGAGCAGAACGTCTTGGGATGTCTTGAGGGTTGTTTGGCAGTCCCTGGGGCGCCTTGGGTGCCTGTGGGGAGCCTCTTGGGGCCCCTTGGGGCCTCTTGGTGGTCTCTTGGGAGCATTTTCAGGGCATCCTGGGGGCCTCTTAGGGGCCTCTTGGAGCCTCCTGGGCACCTCTTGGAGCCGTCTTGGGGCACTCTTGGGAGCCTCGGAGGCCATCTTGGGCCATCTTGGAGGAGATCGATCAACGGAGAGCAACTCCTCACTTATCAATTAGGTTCCCCCGCCCCCAGGAGGCCAAGATGTGGTCAAATCCTCAATCAAAGTCGATGTTCGGGGTTTTCTCGCCGAGGCCTCTTGGGGCATCTTGAGGCCCTCTTGGGGGACTTCTTTGAGCCTCTTAGGGGTTCCTTGGGGGCCTCCGAAGGGCATCTTGGGGGCCTTTTGGGGGCTCCTGCCTGGGCACCTCTTGGGGCCGTCTTGGGGCACCCTTGGGAGCCTCGGGGGCCATCGTGGAGCCATCTTGGAGGATATCGATCAAAAGGAGAGAAGGGGCTCCTCAATTGTCACCCCAGGAGGCAAAGCTGTGCCAAAACGTTAATTCAAATCGATGATTTGAGTTTTCTGCCCAAGGCCTCTTGGGGCGTCTTGGGTGCCTTTGGGGGACATCTTGGGGCTTCTTGGGGGTCTCTTGGGAGCCTTTGGGGGGGCATCTTTGGGGCCTCTTGGGGGGCCTCTGGGGGGCTCCTGGGCACCTCTTGGGGCTGGCTAGGGGCACCCTTGGGATCAAAGGAGGGGGGCTCCTCAAATTAGGCCCCCCCCCAGGGAGCCAAACTGGGAGCAAAACGATGATAAATTTAATGAGTTTGGCTTTCTCACCGAGGATTCTTGGGGCGTCTTGGGTGCCTCTGGGGGGCCTCTTGGGGCCTCTTGGGGGTCTCTTGGGAGCCCCATTGAGGCATCTTGGGGGCATCTTGGGGGCCTCTTGGGGCCTCACTCTTGGGAGCCTCGGGGACCATCTTGGGCCATCTGGGGGCAGATCGATCAAAGGAGGGGCCGTGGTACGTTAGGACCCTGCTCCTCAGGAGGCCAAAACGGGGCCAACACCTTAGTGAAATCAATGAGTTTGGTTTCCTCGCCGAGGCCATCTTTGACGCTCTTACGCCTCGCGACCCCTCCCCTCCACACCCATGGGGAGGTGGTAGGAGGAGGGAACTTCCCCTAATGGAGCTGGTAAGCCCGTCCCACTGACGTCAAAAATGTCCCGCCCGTTCCCTCCCCCCCATGCGCACCGTCCCAGATGCCTACCAGAAGGCCCCCAATCGTCTTTCTAGTTTCCAGAGGGTCTGAGGCTGCCCTCTTCTTCGAGGGCCCCCCCAAAGTAGCATTTGGGGGTCATCTTGAGCCGTCTTGGGGCCGTCTTGGGGCCGTCTTAGGGTCATTGTGCGCCCAAGTAGGCCCGCCCTACTGGGGCCCTCTGGGAGCCATCTTGAGGCCGCCGACGCCCATGGGAAGCAAACAGCTGGGAAGCCAGAGAAACACCGTGTGTTTCGATGATTTTCGCCTCTCGGGTGCCTCTTTGGCGAGCTCTGCGGCAGCATCGGGCCGTCTGGGCGCCTCTTGGACGCATTTTGAAAACCATGCAGGGCTGCCGTCGACCACCGCGCGCCATCCTGGAAGCCATCTCGGGCTATCTGAATCTCTTTCGGAGCTCTCTTGGCTGCCCAAAGGGGAGCCCAAAGGGGGGCCCCGGCGCGCTCCGGTGGGGACGTCCAAGATGGACCCCAAATGCGTCCGAATCGGTACAGCGCCAACAAGGGCCACCCTCTCTGGAAGACGGAGCATCGTCAAGACCCTCAAGACGGCCCCAGCACGGCCCAGGACGGCTCCAAGACGCCCAAAAAACCCCAAGTCGGCTCAAGGTGGCCCCCAAGACGGCTGCAGACGCTCCAAAGAGGCACCCAGGACGACTCCAAGATGCTTCCGAGAACGACCTTTTCTCAGAGACTCCTTCCCGGACTCCCCCAGTCTGAATCGTAGAACTCCAGGAAGAAGTCAACGTCGGAGTTGCTGTCGACAGACGATGGGATACTCGCTGGAATATCACTGACGATGCAGATGGACACCTTTCGTCTATCGGCCGCGCACCCCTGCGCGGTCTGACCAGCACGGCCGGTCTCTTTGTCAAAGGAATCCCGCCCACCCTCGCTTGAGCCGAGGATGGCAAAGGGATGGACGTGGCAGAAAAAAAGAGGAAGGAGGAACACATGTAAAGGCGTCCTGCGTAGTATTCAGACCAGGGGAGTTGGGACTGTGCCAACAGAGTGTTGCATGATGAACTTCTTGCCGTCGTCAGTATACAGCTGAAGTTTCTGAATCATAGTCATGTAGTCGGAGGTAGTCAGGGCCGAAGAGCTCGTCTCGCTTTCTGCATTCCCCTTCAGGCTATCCGTAGTCTACTCCTGACGTGCCAGGCGCCGTTCCTCGAGCACGCGTCGTGCGGCAGCAGGGTCGGTCGGATCCGTCTCGTCGAAGATGCATTTGCCAAGGGCCGCCCGCTTCCAGGCACTCCTGAACTGCACGTCGTAGCGGAGATGCCACTGCTGCTTCAGGAAGGCCCGAATCACGCCGACGGCCTGCCAAGTGGCCTTAGCCAGCCCGTCGGCGATCTGCGCGTGGGAGTGGACTCAGCGCACCGTCGTCTGGCCCTCGCCCAGGGCGCTGCGGAGTGCCAACGCTTCAATGGCCGTCCGCCGCTCCTCAAGCCCCAGTCCGGCCGACTGGGAACGAACCGCGCCATCGCAGAAGGCGTTGCAGCCCGTGGCCAGAACGGCTGGCAGACTCCGCAGTGCTGTAGTTCGTCCCCGCAAGAGGTGGCTTGTCGTGCAGCACCTCCGTGAGCACCAGTCGCACCATGCACTGCTCACCCTCCGCGTCACCCGCTTCCCGTACCTCTGCTGCCAGGCTCGACCGAAGCACGCGGCGCAGCTTCCTGGAGCCCCAGTCCGGGACGGTGAACTTCGAGAGCTTGTCGTCCACGGCCGTCTCGGGCGCGGTGGCGGGGATGTGTCCGCCTTGGGAGTGGCCGTCCGAGCGTGAAGAGGGCCAGGTCGTCCAGAGCGTGTCGGTAGATTTACATCTCCCCGTGGCGGCTCTGCTCGACGAGCTTGACGATGTCGTCCGCCCCGTGAGGAGGCTGTGGGTCCCACTCGGAATCTTCGGTTCGGGGTCAGCGACCCACGAGAGGAGGCAAGGCACGGTGTTCACGCCGAGCCAGTGATCTCCCCGCAGAAGGCCCGGAGCACCGTCTTGTCCGCATCCGTGAGGGTGTCGGTGGTGCGCCGCTCACTTTCGCTGGCCGCTCGAGCTTCCTGAATCTCATCGACGTGCGCCTGCTGCTGGAGGAAGCCCCTCCCGATCGTGACGCCGCATTGCTCGAGGGAGGTGAGCCCCTCACTCCTGTCCTCCCGGGTGCCCCACTTGGAGCGCCCCCGGATCTGACTGACCTTGGCCTGCCACTCGGGGTGCGACGTGTCGCCCGCCAGGATGAAGTCGTCCACGCGGGCCATGGCCACGCCGAGGAGCCTGCCGGTCTTCGTGCAGGGAGCCTTCCAGCTGCAGGGTTCCGGCTCGCACGCCGGGAGGCCTAGCGGTGGATCGGGGGAGTCTGCACAACATGTCCGAAACGATCTTGGCTGAGAGTCTTGCGAAAATCTTCCCCTGAATTTCCGGCCACAGTGCTGGGCCCCCCTCAGATCTCAAAAGCAGATCCCCTTGGCGAAATCTCCAAGCCCCAGCTCCGCACAGACGCGCTTGCGATCGCCGGCGTTGCCGATTAAACCCAAAGCGTGTTCCAAACTAAACAGCCCCAGACCAATCGATGACGCATTCTTGTTGTCGACGTGGGACCCCTGGCCCGTTTCTTTTATGCTTAGTCGTTTTGCGACGGCTTCGGGGGGACTCGGAAGCGGACTACTCCTGGACCGAGGTCGTTCCATACCCCCACCAGCTCATCCGGACACGAGGCCCAGGCGAGTTGCCTTGGCCACGGACTCTTAGGAGCAAAGAGCGGGACA